TAGTAGTTGTCTGACTTTCCAAACTACTGAGTGCTAGTGGACCATTCCCTAAAGATCTGCATGCTTAACAATGTGTTCCTACCATAGTCCCTGTATCTTTCAATGCGCCTAGGTGACATACTCTGGCATACGCTGCCTGACTGGTTGTTGAATAAATGAAAAATGTTAAGAAGTAATCTCTAGCATTACAAAGACATGTTTGGGAGACTTGTGTGTCTGGAGATTTTACCCTCTCCATATACATTTGAGATGCAGTGAGGTCTTGATTGGTCAAGAAGAATAGAACTAATGATCCCTCTGAAACGCAAAGGCTTAGTATTAATTACTTCCCAGCAGCTGGCTATGCTTACAGCACTGCTGAGGCTCAGTAGCTGAGTAAGGAAATTGCAGATTTAGCCATGTCCCTGAACAGTTGGCCCTCCCCCGCAGAGTGGCGGCTCTGGAAAGAAACAGCAGAGCAGTCAGCATTGATGCCTCCTATAGCAGGCTGTTTGGCCTCACAGTGTATTAGTTTTTCTTAAAGTAAATTAGTTGTGAACATTTCAAAGCCACATTTTCAGGGTAAGTTTGAGGCAGCTCCAGACTTCCTCAAGCACCTTGTGCAAAGGAACACTTAGCCGTGCTCAGTAGAAGTCGTGTTAGAACATTTTGCCTCAGTGGAAATGGTAGTTTGCTGTCACCTAGGCAGCCACTGGCCAAGTGTAAGTGTTAAACATTTCAAATGTGATGGTATAACTGGAAATGTGTTTCCTGTTTAATGGACATAAGTGTATGCAGTTCTAGAGAGCAGAGGCTGGCATCAGATGCTACAGGCCAGAGCGAGAGCAGGCATCCAGAGTCTAAAGACATGTGCCTCAGTTTCTCCTGGCCACCCAGGCCAAAGACAGGAAGTCGGCTTGCTTTGCTTTTTTTTTTTTTTTTTTTTTAAGGAAAGACAATTCTCCATTCCCCTCCAGCTGCTCCTGACACACATTGGGAACCATTGCCAACATCCAGTTACACAGCATTAAGATGTTTCCCAAATGCTTACTGATCACATTTTCTGACTGTAGGATTCATTATTAAATGTTGTTTAATTAGATTTTTGCTTTATTTACTTCTCCATGTCTTCCCTTCTCTTGGATTATATTCTCCTTTTAAGATGTCCACATTTTAGCCATGTGTATGAACAAAGCTGAAAAATAGTACAAGTCGAAGGCCTTAACTTGTACAACTTAATGACACTAGTTTTCATGGAGTGGACCAACCAAGGTAAGAAATGAGTAACACTTACCCTAAATTCTAATGTTAATGTTGGGCCAGTGAGATGGCACGGTGACTGAAGGTGCTTTCGCCAAGCCTTACAACTTGATCTCCATCCCCTGGACAGGCGAGAACAGGTGCCCACCAGTCCATCCTCTGGCCTCCACATGTGAGCCGTGGCACACACACCCTCACACAGCAATAAAATGTAATTTTTAAAAGAAAAAATTTAGAGACTTTTAAGGTTTGTGCTCATGAAAATGTCAAAATTTATTCAGGTTCATGAGAAGGAGGCTTATATTTTTAAATAAAATGCTTCTAAAGTAGAAAAATAGATGAAGCTTATTCTTACAATGAAGTATAATCAAAACTTAAGTAGTACTAGAATATTTTCTGGGATGGTACAAAACCTTAAGAGATAGAAAAGGGAAGCTTATCTGGGTTTTTGTAGTCTTTGTTTAGCAAGTAGGGTACAAAGAAACTGTTCTTTAGATGTAAATTGAAGAATTTGCTTAACTGCAAATGGGTGTTGTCTTCTTTTAAAGAAATTGTGTGTTCTGTGATAGATTGACACACTGACAGATGCAGCTCCATGCCGAGACTCTTTCCCCACTTGTGTTGTGTCTTACTTAGGCTTTTGTTTTTTTTTTTTTTTTTTAAAGATTTTATTTATTATGTATACAATGCTTTGCCTGTATGTATGCCTGCAGGCCAGAAGAGGGCACAAGATCTCATTATAGATGGTTGTGAGCCACCATGTAGTTGCTGGGAATTGAACTCAGGACCTCTGGAAGAGCAGTCAGTGCTCTTAACCTCTGAGCCATCTCTCCAGTCCTAGTTGGGGTTTTTATTGCTGTGTGGAAACACTGTGACCAAAAAGCAAGTTGGGGAGGAAAAGGTTTGTTTATTTGGCTTTCACTTCAATATTGCTGTCCATCGTTGAAGGAAGTCAGGACAGGAACTCGAACAGAGCAGGATCCTGGAGGCAGGAGCTGATGCAGAGTCCATGGAGGGGAGCTGCTTACTGGCTTGCTCAGTCCACCTTCTTACAGAACCCAGGACCAACAGCCAAGGGATGGCCCCACCCACCATGGGCTGGGCCCTCCCCCATTGATCATTAAATGAGAAAATTCCATACAGCTGGATCTCACTGAAGCATTTCCTCAGCTGAGGCTTCTTCCTCTGATGACTGGAGCTTGTGTCAAGTTGACATGTAAAGCCAGTCAGCACACATTGTGGTCATAGAAGTTTTTCCTCATGGCATTGTCCTTTAGAGACTTGAAATGTATTTAAGGATGTGTTTCTCCGTGGACACAGTGGTAATCTTCTCTTGAGAACCTGTTGTTTGCCATGCACTGCCATGCTGGTGGTGCCCACGAAGTTGTGGACTGGGTCATTCAGGAGCCATCATGGATTCTGCCTGTCACTCGCCCCCATCAAGTTCTGTTGCTTTTTCCTCCGGGGCAGGTTCATTCTACCACATCCCTAACCCTTGCCCTGTGTCTCACCCCGAATCATGTAGCATCCTCCTAACTATGCTTGGGCATCCACTGTTCCTACCCTCACAGGGCAACTATCATGATTTTCTTTTAAATACCTTTACACTATTCTGCTTAAAATGATGCATTTCAAATGAAACTGACATCATCAGCTTTCTAACCTGAGATATAGCTTTGCTACCTCTCTAGCTTTGGAAAGAGCTCTATTCTTTAGAACTGGTCTTACAAACATGTGGCAGGATATTTCAATAGTAGTGGCTTTAGTAAGACAGAAGTTCTCTCTCCTGTGTTAGTAGACAGAATAGGGTCTGGTGTGGTCAGAAGGGTAGCTGCCTCTGGAAGGCAGGAGTGAGGCAAGGAAGGGACCAGAGTTTGTATGTTCAGACCAGATGAAGGTATGCCTGTGCACACTACCTGAGGATCAAGACATTTAGCCCCAGGTAGTTCATTTCCCCATTTTTTCTATTATTACATTTAAAAATGTTGATGAGAAATTAAATATCTCTGACCGGGCTGGTTTACAAGCAGGTCTGAGGAAATTGGCAGCAGCATTCAGCACTTAAAGCCCTTTCCATCCCTGGGTGCTTTGTGCAGGAAGAAAGCCCACACTCTGGGAACAGATTGCCTCATGGAAATATGACACCAGGGACCAGAACAGGGGGAAGGGGGTGGTGGAACCTGGCCATGCAATCCAAGAAGCTAAGGAAACGATTCTGTGCTCACCAGAGAAGAAACATCCAAAAGACTAGCTGACTTTCATGAGGAGTGCATCAGGTCTTACGACTGTGAGGCAGAGTGGGCTTTGTTTGTTAACTGTTTAAGACAAAAGGAACTGATGATCATGAAAGACAAGGGTCCACAAAGGAAAACAATTACTGCAATTGGATTCAATCACTTTATTTTCTCAAATACCAGTCATGTTATTATCTGGCTTTGGTGTGTACATCACTTAATTAGGGGGGTTGAGGCAATGGGAATAAGGAAAAAGGAAAGGGCAACAGTTTAAGTGGATTGCCAGCAGGTGCGTGATGTGGGTGGCGATGAAGCCCAATAAGGACGTAATTCTGGTAGAAGCTCTTGACACTGATCATTTGTGAAAAGGAGATTTGTTTCCTCCCCACATACGTGGTTCTGTACACTTGTCTACAGACCGTGAGCATTGTCATTCCATCTGCTCATCAACTTTGGAATTACCAACACCGAGCCACTTTGAAAGAGCAGACAAGGTTATTAACTTTGGCAGGAAATGAAAATTTGGCCTTAATATACATGTGAAATTGAATTGTCTGTAACACAAAGCTTTGGAGATTACCCATGCAAAATGAGAAAAGTATCTGAATTTAAAATTGTCCTCAGTACAGTGAAAAGTAATTCTGCAGACTGCATTTTTACTACACTGAAATCCATGAAGAGATTGGCTCTATTAATATAGATTTAAACATAGGCTGTGTGTCTACTAAAAATGGTAAATGAGATGGAAAATGTACTTTACAAGGAAAAAAATGTTTCTAGAAGTGCCTTAGGCAAGCAGACTCCCTTCTCCATGTCTCTGACTGCTCCTCACTGAGCTGGAGCTCTGTCTCCTGTGACAAGCACATAGACACTGCCTCAGTTACTCTGTAGGCTTTAGGGTGCCCAGGAGCAAGGCGAATGGGACCACAACTGAGTTACTAGCAGCTCTTCCTTTAGTCTCCAAAGTAGCATAGTGGTGGTGGAGGCAGCTCTTGACAGGAAAAACATATAGGAAGACTTGAGTGTGTTTTCTCCAGTGTCCAATGCCCGCCCACAAAGAAACCAGTGTAGTATTTGGTGACACAAACCAGCTTGTCACACACACATGCAAATTAACCTTTTGTTTAAAGAGAAGTGAGCTTTTTCATCCCTTGCTCTAAATTGCTTTATGTCATAACAATCATATTTTTTGTTCATTATTAATTAACTTTTATTAACAAATGATGCACCAAAACAGATTAGTAATGGTCATTATGTCTGCCTTTGTGTCTCTGTCCTGGACAAGTCTTAAAAAGTCTTTATTACTTAATAGAATTTTAACAATGAGGAATACAAAGTCAAGTGATTCCCTCTGCCTTTTCTTAGAGCTGACTCACAGTAAGCAGAGCTGAGGCTAGAAAGACAGTCACCTGACTTGCAGATGATTTCATGTAGCTTATCAAATTCAACCCAGATGAGTGGGTAACACCAAAATAACAGAGTGAGTTGCCTGTCCTCATCTCCACTTGCTTTCTCCTTGCATTCCAGGCATTGCTGTGCTTTACTTACATCTCTATGATGTGTTCGGGGACCCTGCCTACTTGAAGATGGCGCACGGCTATGTAAAGCAAAGCCTAAACTGTTTGAGCAAGCGTTCTATCACCTTCCTGTGTGGCGATGCAGGCCCCCTGGCTGTGGCTGCTGTGCTGTATCACAAGATGAACAGTGAGAAGCAGGCAGAGGATTGCATCACACGGTAATCATGTTTGTTTGTGAGGACTGCTACCTAGACATCATTAGGATTCTGCCTGTGTTAGCAAAAGAACATTCTACTGAGTTTACTTTTCTCTCAGCAGATCTTCCCTCTGCATTTGATCAGTTCTCAGATTCCTGCTATAGTTAAGGAATAGCCTTGTAATCCTTATCTTAGTACAAGATAGAAGACAATGGCATGGTCCAGATCAAGTATCAAGTCCCTGGGATCAAAGCCCTGATTGTTAGATGACTAATTCACTGTGCTCCCCAAAATCAGCATTTGAAAAGGAAGTGTGTCTCTTCTTGGAAGCCAGGGACCAAAAAATGAATTCCAGACTGCCATTCTAGATGAGTTGGTTGCACATCTGCAATCCCAGCAGTCAGAAAACTAAGTCAGGAAGATCCTGAATTCAAGGCCAGCCTAGGCTACATACCATCTCCTAAATCTAATAATAATGATGATGATAACAGTGGTGATGACTGCCTTTCTTGGGGGCAATGGAATACAAATCTAGATTATCATTTTGAATATAACTCATGGTCTCACTATGAACTGGTGACTTTTAAAGAATCACTAAACTTTTCTACAAATAGACAACATTTATTGTCTTTGTAAAGTTATTGAGCATTCTGTTGAACTCTTGAGAAGTTTGACTGGCATGCAGCTCCATGTGGAGTCTTGGGCTCTCACCAAGCAAATGAATGTCAGCAGGTGGAGTTGCACTTCTAGCAGTGTGATCATCCCAGAGTCAGCCTCTGTTTTTATATACCCACTATTCTTTCTTAGCATTGCTGCTAGAAATGCATAATTGTCTATTTAGTTTGCTCTCTTGAATTCTCAAGAGCTATGATTACCTACAAGAGACCTGCACACTTGTCAGTCAGTCATGTCGCTTTGCTTAATGGAGGGGGAAGGAGTCTCAGGCCCCACCAGCCCTGAGCATCTTCTCAGTGGTCAGTGGCTGCTGAGGTCACCTTCCCTAAATACAGTGGCCAAATAGGAATTTGCTTTGTTAAGAATTTTAATGGGTAGAAGCAAGATGTTAAAACAGATTGCAGGTTGTGCTCAGTACTGCTTACACAAAATGAAATGCACACCCCTCCCTGTCTGCAGTCCTTAGGAGCTCATAAATAGGGGAAGCCCTCCAACTCTAGGCTGCCGTTTGCCACTAATATACAGACAGCCTTGCTCAAATGAGTAAACTTGTTTATTGTTCCATACCTTGATTATAAACACCTTTTGTGATTACATATTTTTAAAATTTTTATGACATTTCGAGAAGATTTTATTTATGGCCAGCAGGCTTGTCATGTAGTTAAAATACAGAATGTGGAGTCAGACATGGTAGCTCCCATCCACAATCCTAACACTTGGAAGATTGAGGAAGGAAGATTTCTACAAGTTCAAGGCCACATAGTAAGTTCCAGACTAACCTGGTCTACAGCATAAAATTGTCTCAAGACAAAAGAAAAAGTTTTGTGTGTGTGTGTGTTTGTGTGTGTGTGTGTGTGTGTGTGTGTGTTTATTCCTATGCTCACATATGTATAAAGATGTGACTGAAAGGGAAGTCTGTTGTTTGACCACAGCTCTGACTGCCTGACTTCTTTATTTCATGATCACTGTGATCTGGAATTGCATTGTTTGGTTCACTTTCTACATCTCCCTCCTAGTGGCAAAAATTCCTTCAGTTCAGTTTCTGTAAGTCCAAAATGATTTTATATTGTCAGGAATTGAATCAGCATGCTTGCTTATTTTGCTTTTTAGTGAGCTCTCTTCCTGGTACCACATCCTCTGGGGTATCACACACTCATTTCCTTCAGCAGTGTCTTTGTTGTGTTCCACCATCCCGTTTACCTCTCCAACATTTTTTTGGTAATGAGCTCTCAAAATCAGAATTTTGAGTTTGAAAGAGCAAACATGCCTTAAATATATAGTGTGTGTATATATAATTACTATGTTTAGACAAAGAAACTGGAATCCAAAGAAATCATTTTCATTAGGATTTAGACTTGGCTTACAGAAGATGGACCTTACGAGATCTTTTCAGGATGCAGAGGGCTTGCACTTCTCGAATGGAGGATGGGAGTCTCTAACTTCCCACAAGGAAGGAGCTTTGGGCTTGGAGGGGGATGAATGGGAGTCAGTGAATATAAACAGTCATGTTGTGTCGCAATGGCCTGGGTGAATGACAGAGCCTCTTACTGGCTCTCTGCTATCTGGTAAGTACCCTGCAGGTCCTGTCTACACAGAGTTCTTGGTGTCAGAGTGCCCGCTTCGAAGTTAGGTCACTAGCCTGGCAGATCATAGTATGCTGAGGCCAGTACTTAGGATGGTCAGGAGGTGATCTTGGACAGAGAATGTGATGTGTGTTATAGTGTGATGAATCAGAAAAGGATAGAAAGCTCCAGTGACACCTGGGGAAGTGCCACTAGATGCCCGGCAGAGCCATCTTGTCTTTGATTGTTTGTCTTCTTCCTTCCGTGACATTCACTGACTTGCTGGTCCCTTCTAAAAACTGGTTGCTATTAATACCAGCTTATCCAAACAGATAACTGGAACTGCAGACATACACTTGTGGCCTTGAGAGTTTCCAAAAGAACATAAAATAACCATTACAATTTTCAGATGCCTTCATTATTTTATCTTAAAATGTAGCATGTGAAGCTATAGCTTCAAACCCTACCTTTAGCAAGTAGAACCAACCAGTAAGTGCTGATAATTTACATTCAGATCCAGAAAATAAATGCACCATGTCCCTTTTTAGCCTAAACTCTGTTGTTAGGCGATGCTGGTTCTGAACAGGATGTTGTCTGTAGACATTTAAATCATATTCCCTATCTGTTTATGACTGGCCCTAGTGCAAATGAATTTGTTTTTAAAATGTTAGTTGTATATCGCCACCTAGTGGTAGTGTAGGGGAGAACACTGGCATTTTTGTAGTTGTGTACAACTTCTGTTTTTAGTAGGATCATCATTGTAGTGATGTAGTAATCATTAATAATAATACTTCCTAGGGCAGAAATGACACCGAAGTTTTCCCTTTTTTAGTAGTTTCTTCAGTCCCTTTGCAAAAATAAATCAAGTTCTTTTTTATTTCCAAAGTCTATAGGATTGATGCATTTGTATCAAAATTTGATCAAGTGTTCTGATCTGACCTTGAGGCACTTGTTCTGGCCACTGCAGCAGCCAAGTTTGTTTTCTTGGTCCCGGTGTTTTCAGGTACAGGTTCTGTCGGGAGGGGAAAAATACATTTTTCTTAGCAAATGCTTTTAAATTCTTTTGAGTTGGGGGTTGGCCAAGCTCCTCTGCCTGAGGCCATGTAGATTGCCCTTCCAGATCATCCCTCTCAGAAGGAGCTCTGTGAGCTCTGGGGAAGCTTCCGTGTGAAGTCTTGTGTTTCTGTAAACTTGTTTTTAAGGCAGAGTCTTGTGTAACCCAGGATGACTGTGGACTGACCCTGCCCACCCCTCACGTACTGAGCTGTGCTAAGTGTGTGCCAGTGTGCTGAGCTTCTCTGAAGCCACTTATCCCCTGGAGAGCTGTGAATTGCCTGACCTCTAGGTGTGTGTCATCATAGAAGAACAAGGCACAAGAATCTGCATAGCATCCTTTGTAGAGTCATTTTAGAAAATGACTTAGATCATATGTGCCAGTCCTATGTGCTACTCAAAGGTCTGCATAGATGTATACTGAAAAACTCCTGGAATCAAAATTGTTGGATCATAAGGCATGTAAGACACCTTAGACAGATCCCTCTAGTAATAGCTTACTCCCTACCCAAGAAACTAAAACATACATACATGCATGTATGTATGCATACATATCCCATACAGACTCATCAATGCTAGTACTCAGTAGCCCAAAATTGCTGTCAATTTTTTCTTTTTAGTTTGTGACTACCAGGATTGACTTTGACCACACACACACACACACACACACACACACACACACACACACACACACACACACGCTTCCATTTGTATTTTCATTTGAGTACAGTAAAATTGGAGGCTGGGGATGTAACTCAGGATGAACACTTGACCATCATGCCCAAGACACTGGGTTCATCCTTAGCACTGCAACAACAGTAAGATGATGGGGTTAGGGGAGTGAGAAGTCAAAATCAGCATAACCCCTGTTCCACCACTCAGACAACCCTATTAGCATTGAGCAAAGCTGAACCACTATTACAGCATATTACAAGGAAATAGTAACTTCTGGCCATGGTGACCCTGCCAATTTATTTCCTATAATTGTGAAAAGGAATAGAAAAAAATGAGCTAGCATTGATGTATTTTGCAAATTTGAGGAGCATCAATTACTTGCAACATGCCACAATTTCAAAGCCCCCCTTTTTTGTACCAAGGAGCAAGTGCTCATTAAAAAAAAAAAGAAAGAAAGAAAATTATTTGTACCAGAAATAGAGAGACAGGTCAATGGTTAAGAGTAGAACAAGCACTAGTTGCTGTCACACAGGACCTGGGTTCAGTCCCAGAGGTTACATGGTGCTTCACAATCCCTTTAACTTCAGTTCCAGGGGTTCCCATGTTTCTCTGACTACAGTAGGTACCAGGCACATGTGTGGTGCACATGCATAATTCAAGAAACACTTATAAAATGAATACATCTGTGTAGGGAGGAACCCTGATTAGAGATACCGCTGACCACGCCCGCCTGGGCCTGGTCAGAGTTTCATAACAAGGGTTTAAGAAGGAGGGAGGTGGCACGCAGCTCTCTTTGGCCTGGCTGAGCTGCCTGGGAAGCATTTCTGGGTCCATCCTGCTCAGGTACAAACCTGGTCACTGGCTCCCTTGTGTGAGTACTTTTCCCCAATAAACTACTGGTTATCAACCTATTTCTGACTCCACTTTGTAATCATCTATACATCTAATTAAAATTCTTGCTTAATGTTTAAAAACAAGAACTCTTTATACCTTTCCTGAGCTTTTGTTCCATATCTGTCCGCTGTTTTAGTCACCAAGTCATCTCATTCTGGTTACAAGAACAAGTCCTTTTCACTATAGACACCAAGTGTGCCGCTCCCTGCCAGCACACATGGAAACAGTGAAGAAGGGAATGTGAAAGGCACATTTTCTTTCTCACAGATGCTCTCCCTGCCTGGCTGTATGTCCTGGTGTACATCTGGCCTGGGAGGAGCAGTTAGCAGGTTCTGTATCCCTGGGTTTCTTGTGGTTTGATCTGGGTTAACATTGCTGGCCTCCAGGGGCTATGGCTGTGTACCACCTCAGCTGCACCCTGACACCTGACACCTGACACCTGACTGTGAAAATAAAATCCTGGGCAAGGGCATCATTCTACCGAGTGGGCAAATATTTATCAGGAAGAAGAGCACATGATGGTTTGACCGACCTGCTCTTGTAGCTCTGAGAAAGTCACAGTGTCCTTTAGACTTAGTGTTAACAGACAAGGAAGGCTATAAACAGCCCACACCTCAGCCTCGTCAGCTCACTCCACCAAGAAATCCATTTCTTCATATGCTTCATTGCTTTGTTAACCAGTTCTTGGTATGGATTTTAATAGAAAGTATTGAGTCCCTGTGACTGTTGATTCCTGGTTACAATGTCTCGAATTCACCCCACGTGACTTGTAATACCACAAACTTGTTCAAACACTTGAGTGTGTAAAATCAGGTTAGGCACACATACTAAGCTGATCATCCAAAGGTGAGTTTCCACCCCAACAACAAAATAAGAAAATTTTAAAATCAGACTCATTTTTAGAGATAAGACCTAAAAGAGAAATGATGAAATGTTATGTTTAGTATATTATAAAATATCAGATAACATTTGATTTTCCAGAAAATCCCTGGGTTTTTCATACTAACATTGTTTTGTCAGGTTTTGACAAGAATTTGAAGTGTTTTAAAAAGTTAAATGGAATCTCGTTGAAATTCATAAGACTAATTTAGAGAAAATTGAGTTGTATTTTCAAAACTCCACATGATTAAAAAATCTAAAATACCTGGGCAGTGGTGATACACACCTTTAGTCCCAGCACTGAGGCAGGGGCAGGCGGATCTCTGTGAGGCCTGCCTGCTCTACAGAGCAAAGGTTCATTCTGAGTTGAGACTACCCAATCAATTGGTAGTCTTCCTAGCTTACCTCCCCTGGGGTCTTCCCCTACTTTCTGATTGCCTGGGGTATGGTTAACCAGTGTACATGTTTCCTCACTGAGATGCTTCTGTGCTAAGTACACAGAAGTTAGGGGTACAATAGGGTTTACCCCTCTCCTGGAAGCACAGTGCCTCAAGTCTCTGAGGAAGGCTGTCTCCCTCCAGAGTTTCAGCTCCTGTGGGTTCCTGTTGCTGTTGCCTCAGCTTCAGGTTTAAGGTGCTTGTTTTCTGGGTCCTAAGACAACTAGGGAGAGAAACAAGGCCTTACCCACTCTAGTCCTTTATTAAAAACCACCCTTTCCTGTTCAGCCTTGAAACAAAACTCCTCTGGGCTCACTGTCGGCCCGCAGCTACCCACGTCTGTATGTTTGGCTGTACCGAGTTCAGGCCATGGAAATATTGGAAGGGGAAATACACCCCCAATCTATCATTCCAGATTCTGCCCAACCTATCTGCTGCTATTTCCTTTTCAAAGTCTTTAAATGGCTGCCTTGTGTACTCTGTCCAGGTTTTTGGAGCTATATCCAACGGGAGAGGGAAGGGTGAAGTCTACTTGCTGCTACTTAACTGGAAACAGAACCGTAAAAACTTGGAGAAGCTGCATGGAGTCCATGAATAAGAACCTTATAAAGTATAGTGTACAACTTTTAAAGAGTGAGACTAGTCTATGTGTGCTTGATAGGGAAGGACTGAAGGGTGCTGCAGAACATTGCTAGGTTAAACTCATCTATCTATCTATCTATCTATATATAGATAGATAGAGAGATGAGTTTATATACTCATCTATATATATATATATATATATATATATATAAACTCATATATACATACATATATAGATGAGTTTATATAATCATCTATATATATATATATATATATATATATAAACTCATATATACATACATATATACATATACACACACAACTTGATAGTCAAGGTTGTTTCTAAAAATAAGAGCCGGAGGGCTTTGTGCCATTTGCATGCTACCTTGTGGCGGATCAGGCTGCAATGGAGATAGTAGATGTGGCCAGTGTTTCATTAAAGCCAATGGCACTCTAAGTGTTGATTAGTCCAGGCTAAATGCTGTGATGGCAGCTATCCTAGCACCTCTGATCCCCACTACTTAAGGACAAGTCTTAGAGCCGACATCTGTGAGAAGCTAGAATTCAGGTAGCCTCAGCCTCAGTGTGCATTCTTGTTGTGACATACTGGCTCCATCATGACCTTAAAATGGGGCTAATCTTTAAACTGTGATTTTAGGTGTGTATGTTTATGTGTCAGTGTATATATATTTTAGTGGACCACTTTGTATGCTCTTGTTTGATCCCTGTCCATTGATGTTTCTGTTCCTAGGCTCATTCACCTAAATAAGATTGATCCCCACGCACCAAATGAAATGCTCTATGGTCGAATAGGCTACATCTTTGCTCTGCTTTTTGTCAATAAGAACTTTGGAGAGGAGAAGATTCCTCAAAACCATATTCAGCAGGTAATTTAGTTTTATGGGTATTAGGAGTATTTTTAAGGCATATACTTACATATTCTGTCTCTCTGGTTAGCTCATCCCATGCAGGAAGACCATGTGTTTTGACCTCTGTAGGTCAGACACAGAGAGCCACGCTTCCCAATTAGTCTGTGGGAAGCCCTGTCATAAGCAGTGGAGGTCAGAAGGCCATCCTGCTCCCTTGAATAGTTCAGAAGCCCTTTCTGAGGGAGATGGAGGGCAGATCTCCTCTCTTGGATGCAAATATCTCCCTCAGTGCCTAGAGCAGTTTGGGCTTTTTTTTTTTAGGGATGCGTATATTCTTAAAAGTGGTAATAAAAACAGTTGAGGGTCCTCCTGAACTATCTTCTAGGCAGAATACATCCACACTTCTCAGAAGGGAGCTGTGTCCTTTCTGGTGGAAGATGCTATCTTATTCCTTATCAGTAATTCAGTACTTCTTAACAAAAAGTCCTTTGCCTCCACCAAGAACACTTTTTGTCTAATTGTCTTGTTATTTTGCTCATCTCTCCCCCTGTAGATTTGTGAATCAATCTTAAACTCTGGGGAAAACCTAGCTAGAAAGAGAAACTTCACAGCCAAGTCTCCACTGATGTACGAGTGGTACCGGGAATATTACGTGGGAGCTGCCCATGGCCTGTCAGGAATCTACTACTATCTAATGCAGGTAAGGGATGCTTAAGGTGAGACCATCAGGTGACCTACACATGCATTGTCTTGGGTGGAGAGCAGATCCTAATACTGTGTTCCCATCTGTCGGTCACTGTGTCACACTCCTTATAGTCAGTCACAGGTTGCACCTTCAGGTGCGAACGTGTACAGATACCATCCTGGGGATGGTGCTAGGTTTCCAGGTAGACATGCACTCACCAAGTGCCACTGGAGCAATATCTTGGCCTCTAATTCTATATGAAATGCTCTTTGCTCTTCTCTCTCAGAAAATGTCTTGAATTGAAGTATCATTCTCTACTATTATAAAATGAAACAAATTCCAGGAGTAAAGACAAATCTATAAAAGCAAATGAGAACCCTCTGCCTAAGGCTTACTAAGGGAGTAAAGTGAGATTTTGTCTGACTTGCCTGAAAACTAGCTGTGTGTGCTGTGCCCCATAGTTCTTTGGTTCTAACAATTTTGGGAGGCATCAGCCAAGTTAGGAAGACAGAAGACAAATAGGACTTGAGAGGTCAGAAAAATAAGTCGGGGTGCCATTTTAAGGGAACAATTGACACTTGCAAATGAGAATTTATGGCAAAGGAAAATGGGTTCTTCATGGCAGCAGAGGCTCATGCCTCCCCTTGACAAAGTACAGTGTCACATAACTGCATCCACTCCTGCATCCAGCATGCATACATGGATGTACACATTACCGTATGGCTGGAAGAATACGAAACCAGTGTCATGCCTGCCCACAACCCATGATTGCTTTTAAATAGAGTCACAGTTTGGGAGCAGTGATCAGAGGCCAACCTGTATTTATTGATTTATTTATTATTTCTTCTGTTTTCCATTAGAAGATGTATAATTGACATTTTTGACAGCCAAGATTTAAATTCCTTTTCTGTTATACTCCCTCAGTGACTCTTACTTCTAGAACTGCATGTAGATTCTTAAAAAGCTTTCCTGAAAAGCAGGTTAAGTCTTCTGGCATTCAAGCTGAGTTAAAATCATGCATGTCAGTGAATGGGTAGCCTTGTTGATGTGCCATTAAATCTGATAGTCAGGAGATATCTGCCCTGCCTTTTCTTGTTAGCTCTAATAAGAAATCTGAAAACCACAGTATTGATTTTTCAATTTCTAGGTTGTTATCTTTTTGAAAAGATTAAGTTTTTAGTAAGGAAAATCCATTCGGAAATGTGCTTAGATAACAACATAAAATTGGACGGTATTACTTCTAGGCCATATTGGATAATTCCTGGAGAGTGACTTACTCCACTTTTAATACTTTCTTTGTGTCTAGTACTATTTTTACATGTCTTGAAGAACACAGAATCCTGAGAACACACACTACATTACGTCATTCCCAGGACCATCTCCTGACTGTGTATTCCACAGCCATGTACCCCTCACCCTATATGAATTGAATTAAGAACAGGATCAAAAAGAGAAATGACAAAATGAATCCCAAGTGACATACATGTGCCCTGTGTAATGTGAGGTTTTTCTTGGCCCTTCTAGGTCCTGCTGCCGTTCTCTGCCCCAAAGAAACACACAGACGTTATATTAATTATGAAATTGTTGGCCAATTTTGGCTTGGGCTTCTTATTTGCTAGCTCAGTCTTAATTATTCACCCATTTTCTAATAATCCATGTATTTCCACGTGGCCTTATCTTACAGGAGAAAAGGTCCAGGGACGTCCTCTGGTGTCTTACATCTTTATTGTTCAGCATCTCTGCAGAGATGAAAGGAAGAGAGTGATTTCCTGTTTGTCCCTGCTTATATTATGAATCTGCCCAGCTACGTCACTTCCTGCCTCACCAATCAGTGTTTTATTCATCAACCAATAAGACAAACATATACCATTCCCCATCAGCCCTTCATCACTGTGTCATATAATTCTGTATATCCTCATAGAAGAAGAATCCATATACAAGTCATTTCTTATTTGGTGCTGAGCCACACTGCAGTTCTGCATCGGGTCTCAGGTCTCTCAGCCCCATGCCCTTTCCTGTTGTAGACAGCATCCACCACTTCTCTGTCAGAAAGCGAGAGCCCAGTTTGGTGGTCAGTGCGTCTCTTCACTTGACAAACATCTGTTAAACTCTTGTTTGCAAACATTGACTTAGGAAAAGTACTTGTGAATGTGTCCATAACAACAAACATTGGAAATAGTATGTACAGAAGGCCTTAAGAGTTACTTAACAGCCCAACTGCAGTTTGTTCCATTACCTTAAAATTATAAAACAGAAAATGAAAACAATAATATCCAGCAGATGAAAAAAATTGGAAGAGATGATCTTCTAATGGTTTCAAATTTCTTATATTCATGATTTTTTTTTTTTTTGGTTTAAAACTCATTTTGAGTTCTAGGAATGTCTTTTATTTTCAGCAGAACTAATAATTCTGTTTCTCATTTTTAGCCTAGCCTTCAGGTGAGCCAAGCAAAGTTACATAGTTTGGTGAAGCCCAGTGTAGACTTTGTCTGCCAGATGAAGTTTCCTTCTGGCAATTACCCTTCATGTTTGGATGACTCCAGAGACCTGCTTGTCCACTGGTGCCACGGTGCCCCTGGGGTCATCTACATGCTCATCCAGGCCTACAAGGTACCTTGTGTTTTCTTATTTAACATAAAATAAAAAAGTAGCAAATGTGTTTTGTAATACTATTCTCATAATCATTAAAGGATTGTGACCCAACTGCTTTGTCTAATGTCATTGTGCTGACTGGGTTAGCATCCATTCTCACAGTGTCCATCCCATCATCTCATAGCTCTTCACTCACAGAGTAACCAAGATGATAACAGAAGTGGCAGAGTCAAGATAAACACACCAGATGCGTGACCAAAAGCAGAATCTTTATACACTGCTGCAGGGATATGAAATGGAACAGCTGCTGAGCAGACAGATTGCTGGTCCTTACAAAATCAAGCACTTAACATGTAACCGAGCAATCCCACTTTTAGGCTTATACAATAATAATAATATTTCAAAGAGATACATGCACACAACTGTTCATAGCAACTCTACTCTAAAGCCAAAATGTGAAAAATATCAAAGTATGCATTATCCATCACCAGATAAATGTATAGATAAAATGCAGTGTGTGCATGTGGTGGAACAGTGTCTAGCCCTAAAATGGAGTGAAATCTATACTATAATACTCATTACTTTGAAAAGATGCTAGACAAAATAAATGGACACGCAGAAATGCAATACAAAGGAGGAAATTATGCTTATAGAGAGTGATGACTACTAGAAATGTCTTGAGTAGGCAAATTTGTAGAGATAGAAAATGGATGGTATCAGGGTCAAGAGGTAGAGAGCATGGGAGGAGGGTCTATTGCTTGATATGTAGTGATAACAAAGAGAAGTGATATTGTGTGCATACTTTCATGACTAATTAATCCTCACTGAATTATGTGCATACAAATGCAATCCTGGTACTGGGGAGGTGGAAACAGAAAGATCCCTTGGGATCACTGACCAGCTAGTATTGCCCAATCCTTGAGCTTCAGGGTGAGTAAGAGACACTATCTCAAAAATTAAGGTGAAGAGCAATTAGAGAAACCTTGGACGTTTATCCTCCATAGACACCCACACATATCTGCACTCATAACACACACATAGACACAAAAACAAAATAGCGAATAAGTTCTTCCAAAGTATATAAAGACACCTAATGGTGAAGGGTGTTGTAGTTACTCGGAGGCTGTCATGTGTTCTTTGGAGAGGGACTGGTAATGAGAACAAGTGGCCAGTTCAGCACTGCTGCTTTGATACTTATAAAGCTTAGACCAAACACACACAGTCAGACCCAGTGATTTTTAAAAAACAAACTAAAGTATATTAGTTTGCTTTTCTGTCCTTGTGATAAAACACTAAAAGCAGCTTGGATTAGGGAAGGGTTTGTGTGGCTAGTAGGTTAGCCCACCATGAAGGGAAGCCAAGATTCGAACTAGAGGCAGGAACTGAAGCAGAGTCCATGGAAGATGCTGTTTACTAGTTCCCTTCCCTTGCCTTGCTCAACCCACTTATACATCCCAGGACTACCTGCCAAGATGGTACCTCCCAGAGTAGACTGGGCCCTCCCTCACCAATCAGTAGTTAAGGAAACACCCTACAGCTGTGCCCACAGGCCAGTCTGATTGGGACAGTTCCTCGGTTGAGAGTCCCTCTTCTCAGGTGTGCCTAGGCTTGTGTCAAGTTGACAAAAACCTAAGTATGATACAAGTTAATGTTAAGAATTTGTCATTGGCAGTACCACACATTCTGTCACTGCATTCCTATTTCTTGTTGCCATGCCTCCTCCCCCACCTTGCCTTTCCTTCAGAAAGAGCTGCCTGGGGAATTTTCCTTTATGCCCCAGATAATGGAACTCATGTATGTCCCTTGACTCTGCAGGTGTTCAAAGAGGAACAGTATCTTCGTGATGCCTACCGCTGTGCTGATGTGGTCTGGCAGTATGGACTGCTGAAGAAGGGCTATGGGTTGTGCCATGGTGCTGCAGGGAATGCCTATGCCTTCCTGGCACTCTACAACCTCACACAAGATGTGAAGTACCTGTACAGGGCCTGCAAGGTAGGAGCCAGGCTGTGCCTGGGGAAGCTGCTTCTTGGGAGGTTGAAAGGGCCCAGGTCACTCCGAGTCAGTTCATTTACATTATATCCATGAGCTTAGAGTTAACAAACATATCCTTTAAGAAAAGCCTTCAGGAACAATTCAGATTCAGTTATATTAACGTTCCTTGAAAGGTAGATTCTGCTTGGACATATATATGTGGGAGTAAAAGCTGAAAAATGGAGGGTCATTTTGTTCTTTGATGTCATTGGCAGTGTGTGGCTCACACTGCTCACTAAACACCCCCCAAGCCATGCACCTGCCTTTAAACCACCAGTTCCTCAAAATTAACTCCTTATCTGTAAGTTGGTAGTTTTGGAATTTGTCAAAGTAACACAGAATTTTCTCAGGTCTCTGAAGAAATAAGTCACTGAAATTGGTCTCCTTTTCAGTTTGCTGAATGGTGCTTAGATTATGGAGACCATGGATGCAGGACACCGGACACCCCCTTCTCCCTCTTTGAAGGTATTTTTCCATGTGACTTAATATCATCAGCTACTACTCTGCTCCTCTGCTCGGTGGTAATGTGTTTGAATTCCAATTATAGCAAGAAACTGGTTTTTAGAGTTCATTGTTAAACATACTTCCTAATTTCCCAATATGTCAGATCAGTTAGCAAGGCTGAGATGTAGCTCACTTGTTAGAGAGCTTGCTTAATGTCTTGAGTTCCATCCTCCACACTGCATAGACAGGGCATGTTGGCACACACCTCTAATCTCAGCTGTAATCCCAGCACTCAGGGGATGGAGACAGTAGAGGCAGGAGGATCAGCAATTTAAGTTCATCAGCCATTTAACCATTTTGAAACCTGTGTCAATAAATAAACAAATAAATGTCAGGCATGCCACCACAGACTTTACTACCCGTAGCTGTAATGGTGACCACCATTTATGGAGCAGGAGGTATATGGTGAGTCATGGATACAGAGCCCCAGAGAGGTCAGTGGCGACAGTGCTGTGGTGAAGGAACTCACACATGGCCAAGTGGCTTGAACTTGTTTGCCTCCATTCTGTCTCCTCTCTTCCCCTGGATAAAAAAGCCAAGAACTCTTCCAGGGGTCTCTGATGTGTAATACATTGTATGAATTACAGGAAGCTTCCCGTGTCTTAGCATAATGTTGATACTTAAAAAAAGAAAACTGAAGCCATTTGATGTAGTAATGTGTGCCTTTTTCTCTTCCCTTAGGGATGGCTGGAACAATCTATTTCTTGGCTGACCTGTTAGTTCCCACAAAGGCCAGGTTCCCTGCATTTGAGCTCTGAAAGGGCAGCATGGCCCCTGCAGCATGACCCTCCGTGTGTCCCAGCCTGGGCTAAGTGCTTCCGTTGCTCTTGAAGGAGCATAATGAAACTGTGTACTTGAGAGTTGGCTTTTTATTTCCATAATTTGTCTTTAGCAGTTCAGCGCCTTCCTTTTCTTACTTTTATTTAAAAGTGTAAGTGAAAGTCGTCTTAATTTTCTTCCATGAGAAGGATGATTGACAGGTATGGTATTTTGTGGCCATTTACATGTATTTACAGACTTGGAGGAAATCTTACTCTTATTTAATTTTATGAATGTAAATCATGTGTTAGTGCTCTTGAAAATGTTTTCTAAAAACTCAGTAAGCCATACCTGGTAGCATGTTATCCCATCTACTGAGGAGACTGATACAGGAGGACCACAAGTTCAAGGCCAACCTGAGCAACTTAGTGAAACCCTGTTCCCAAATAAAGAGAAGAGAGAGGTCTGGGGTATAGCAGAGTGGTAGACCACTTTCCTAGCACACAAGAAGCCCTAGGCTCTGTCCCCAGCCATATTCTCTCTCTCTCTCTCTCTCTCTCTCTCTCTCTCTCTCTCTCTCTTACTCTGTGTCTTGCTCTGTTCTCTCAGCTCAGGTAGACAGAGATTATATGTAGGTGGCCATTGTTGAATATTGCCTTCCATCTCTTCTGTTGAATATTTTCCCCCCAACAAAGAGTAGTATTATGACTTTATTTTCTCCAAGTGGTTGATTATTAAAGGGGACAAAAATATAGCCCATGCTTCTGGAAGAAAAACTGTAAGAATTACAGACTAAACGTGGCACCTAAATGCCATCTTTTAAACTTCTGTTTCCTGTCTGAACTAGAAGTATCATTTTCAGTGAGCCACATAGGCACTGTATTCCAGCAATGTTATCAAAACTTAAAAATGGTTGTGATGCACACACCAACCTGAAAGTTAATTCACCAACAACAGGTCCTTTTTTCTGTTTTATTTTGGAAATGTTTAGTTTAAGAGTGTTGTCCTTCAGTGTTCATATGGGATCTGGAAGTAGATTTTCTATGTGAATTTGCTGAGACAGGATTCCAGCCTCACCTTCAGCCACATTCAGAAGTTTGGCTTAGGTTTTCCTTGATTTTTGTTGACTATGCCTGAGTGCCACGTGTTACCCCTTCCTGTCCATTGATGTGAACATTGATATTTCACTCAATAGTGCAGAATCTACTATGCTCACAAAGAAGGTGGGAAGAGAGATGCTGTAACCAATAGCTTCTAAGAGAACAGAGCTTTTGCCAGTCGGTGGTGTCTCAAGCCTTTAGTCCCAGTACTCACTCGGGAGGCAGAGGCAAGCGGATCTCTGTGAGTTCAAGGTCAGCCTGGTCTACAAAGCGAGTGCCAGGACTGGCTCCAACGCTACATAGAGAAACCCTGTCTCGAAAAACCAGAGGGCGGGAGGGAGGTAGAGAGAGAGAGAGAGAGAGAGAGAGAGAGAGAGAGAGAGAGAGAGAGAGAGAGAGATCGAGCAGAGTTTTTGATAAGAACATCTGATGTTATAGCCTCCATGCTTGTAACAGATTCACGTTTGCATATCCCAAGCGCAACAGCCTTCTGAGACCATGGAGTCGGGTTGGTTTGTACATGGAGACTCCCTGGTGCTTCAAACTCGGAACAAATGCTTTTTGACTCAGCTCCTCCGTCCCTCCTCATATCACAGGCCTCTCAAGACCTTTGTAACTGACTTGGGAACATTTTCCAGCTTTAGTGCTACAGGTCTGTGCTGTTTTGTGGCTCTCTTGGTTGTGCTATTTTTATTGGGAATCAAGTCCCCATGGAGTGTGTGCTAGTTGCTATGAGGAATAATCCCCTCTTAGTTTCTGACTTGTACCAAAATAGCTAATATGAGAAATTTTCCAGCCCTTTAGGCTACCTACAGCAGGATCCAAAGAGCAGCTCAGTGTTCAATTCCTAGGGTTGGAATGTTCCTTTTGTAGCCCCTGTACGTCAGGGACTTGTGTGACTTCCCCCTCTGCAGTGCTGCTGGAAGCTGTGTCAGACTAACTGGTAAAGGCTGTGCCTCTTATGGTGTCAGTATTTATAAGAGCCTTTCACAGCAGAGCGTACCCATTTGGCCGGACTTCCTGCTTTAGAAAAGAAAGTCCACTTGCTTTAGTTACATGGCTTATATTCTGCCTATACTTTAAACTACTGTAGTTACTTACTAAAAGACAAAGAAGCAGTGTTCTGGTTAGTTGAGAGTCTTGATCACAGTGCCTCCCCAGGCATCCTGATTAATGTAGCCCCAGAAAGAACTCAAAGCCGGAAGAGTGTTTTGAGTGACACTCTTGTTACTGTCTGAGCTGTTTTCTACATATTGCCATCCATTAGTAGACCCATGGACACAAACAGTTCAGCTTTCCATCTTCACTGTGGCTTTTTAAAACTGACTACACTGACAAAGAGTCTGTGCCACTTGTGTCCTTACACTATAGAGCCACGAGAGTTTTCTGGGGCTTTTAAACTCAGGTACAGTACAAAGCCCACACCAACACCTCCCCTCTGAGGAAGAGACAGGAGGAATTGTTTTCACTTCAGCATTGTGCAGAAGCAGTGTTGTTGCTTTCCATCCTCAGATATTTTTCTAACTGGTTTAAAAACCTTCCAGAGATTGCTTCCGGAAAACTCGGTGGCATTGCTAATCGTCATCCAGAGACTAGAAGGTAAAATGTTCAGAGCCTGTCCGGCAGTGCATTTAAGCCATTGTACAGTTCTGCCCTTAACTTTTCATCATGTAAAATGTCAGCATTACCATGACTGCTTCCATAGTTCCTCCCAGGTGTTCATCCCATTCTGTCTGTCAGTCTTTCGTCCTTAGAGTCATCGGGTTCCCTTTTCATCACTCATTTGACTGCAGAACCCCCATGTAGCTAGAGTTAGCTAAAGGGGGTCTAAAGGTATTCTTTCTCCTTATTCCCATTTCCCTGAGTAACGAACCACAGCACTCCGCTTCTGTGTCCTCAGGTCAGTTTGTATCTGGTATTTTGGTGCTCTTGCCTTCTACCCCCTAATTCTGAAATAAACCATGTGAGTGGAACATTGACTTACTTCTTAGGCTCCTAGAAATAGGTGTAGTCCCTACTTACTCATCCTGCTTTCCAGTTCCTCTCCTGCATCCCTGAAACATGGCAGAGCGTGTTTCCGAGTTCTCTGTACCACCAGGCTATAGGAGAACTGTTCATATCCTGTAAACTGGAATCAGTCTTGGGAACATTTGGCATCACCCAAGATTACATTGACCCTTACTGGGAAGGGCTGGGATCGTATCTGTATTGACTGACTGGCCTTCAATAAAATGTTACTAGGCCTGAGTATCGTCTACTGTTGTTTACTTCTGTTTGAACTTGAAAACTATTTCTCTATAATGGTAAATAGTGGCTTTTCTTTTTCTGTATAAACTCCACTCCCTGGGATTTGTTCCTAACTTTGCTTCCTTGTTAGTTCCACTCCCTCCTAATAACAGACTTATCTGGGTCTACCTGCAGTCAATGACTTAAGAGCCTTGTTTTGCGAATTCTCCCTGCTCACAGTCTTAACAGGGCTTTGAATGCAGTCATTGAATGAGACACAATCATAGGGAAAGGAGCTCTACCAGTCACCTGGGAGAATGTACCACTTCTCATGACACAGCCAGCTAGTGTTGCAGAAGTTTGCCAGTGTTTTCATCTCTGAGCTACACTGAGGATAGATGTGATCATTTTTTTCTCCTTCAAATGAAATGAAGTATGTATTTTGGGATCAAGTCTGTAGATGCTGGCAGTGAGACATGAGGGACATAGCTCTCCAGTAGTCACCAGATTCCATCGTGACCCTGTTCTCTGTTTACCTCTCCCTAGCAAAGTAAAAATACACAATTGTATTAAAAATAATAAAAGTTTAAGAAATTTGGCCCTTTCGACTTACCCATAACTTGGGGCTGCGGTGGTGCACACCTTTACTCTTAACACTCTGAGGGGCAGAGACAGGTGGATCTCTGTGAGTTCAAGGCCAGCCTAGTCCACAGAGTAAGTTCCAGGACATCTGGGGCTGTTACACAGAGAAACCCTGTCTCAAAAAACAAACAAACAAACAAAAAAATCCTTTGTCCCTCCCATACTCTCTGGCTACTAGAAAATGGTAATTTATGTCATTTTTCTTTTCCAATAATCCCCACTGTGGATTCAGTGTCCCACACTGAATTCTTTATCCTTACAAGCATCATGTAAGCTTATCCTGTAATTCTATCACTGGAAATTTTGCTGCTGCATTCTGTTTCACTTCCACACTATCTCCTTCCTAAAACTGTGGTCAGTTAAAGCAGGACACTGTCTGTCTTGCAATGGAGAACACACTGGCTTCACGGTTCCATTATGTGAACTGATAAACAGTTTTCCAGGAGCCTGTGTAATGCATCCTTGGGGACATATTTTACAATTCCGTTAGTAATGAGAGAAAGCACAAACAGCAAGCCAAAACGTGGACTAAACGAGGATAGAGAAATGGATCTTAGCAGGGCCACTTCTCATAGTCAGCCAACCTAATTTCACATCTCTACATTATGCTAACTTTCCATCGACATGCAAATTACAACCACAGTGACATTAAGTCTGCAGCTAATGTTCTGTCACTCTGCAAATAAGTGTCGGAGAAAGCCTTTGTGTGGCATTTACTGGTTATGGGAGGGAGTTCCTTACGAATCAGTTTGTAAAGTACTATCAAAATTGCCTAATTTCTCTGGTGGACCTGGATATAAAACAAAGTATTTGTAGTGTTGGTGGAGGTTCACTGTAAGCGTATGGCTAACACTGGCTGTTTTCTCAGAAACTGGCATTTAGCAATTCACATGCACTCTCGTAGATAGTTTTGCACTATTAGTACTGTCAGATTATGTGCTACAGACACGCCTATTCTAGCATGCTCTGAGCAGTGCTTTGTCTTCATCGCTTGCATGCTCTGACTTGTCACTGTGTATGTAAGGTAGCTTCTACATGAACAAAACTGCCCTGTTCTGGCAACTCCATCCGAAGAACATAGGTGATTAGCCAAGCAGTTATGAAATGTTATTTGCACTTGTGCCAACTGTTCTTTCCCTTGTTTCGTGAAGCCTGATGTAAGTCTGGCTCTCATGTGCTCTGTGGTTTCTTTATATTTATGGAAATGGTGCAGTTAGATGCCTTTATTGGGAGAAGATGCTCAGCCAGAAGCATTTACCATTAGTACATTTGGTCAGCCCTCATGATGGGAAGGGTGGAGGGAAATCTGAAGACATAAATCCACTTACTCCTCCAAATTCTTGCATTTAGACAACTGGGAAATCCCCACTGTTATCATTATTAGCAAGTTAGATTTTGCACAGGATCAAGCCGGATCCAGCTAGTCAACATCCCAGCATAAAAGGGCAGAGAGGTGGCTGCTGCAGAGAAAGAGTTTTCTTTAAGCATGGATGCCACACCCATGCATATAGGGGCTACACAAATTGGGCTATTTGGTAAAGCAAATACAAATAGGACAGGGAGGACAGGTGGGGGAGTGGATCAGTCAGGAGTTAGAAAGTGGTGGTGAATATGATCAAAATACATTGTACACATGAAATTCTCAGGAAAAGTATTTAAAACAAGGTTAAATTCCTTTCCTTGAGCACGGTTAAGATGCACAAACTTTAGAAGTAGCCCCATGCCTTTTAGTAATTGACTCATGGCACAGGTTGCTGCTAAACTTGAAAATGTGAAGACCACTGCTAGCACGTGCTAGTTGTAGCATTCCATGGTGACATCTGTTTGCAAAAGACTTGTGAAGTAGATGTATCTATGAGCACGTGATTTCAGTGTGAAATGGAACTGTGGGGCCAGCTTGTAGTGAGGAGAGGCGATGAAGTGAGAGGTGGGTGAATGAGGATCAGGAAACTGGTTGTGAAAACAAAGTCACGGCTTTATTCAGTCCACTGTGTATGCAAATGGCGCAGGGTCCCTGATGGGTGCTCCTAAATGAGTTAGATAATCCATATCCATGGTGAATCTCAAGTAGAGAAAAAGGAGTCAGAAGTGGGCTGTCTGATGACTTTCAAGAATTGACCACATGGGAAGGTTGTGAGCTAGCAGCAATTTTTTTTTTTCAGATTTTTTTAATTTGCATTAGAACCAAGGTTGTTTTACATGTCAATCCCAGTTCCCTTTCCCTCCCCACCTCCCCTACCACCCCCCAACTAAAACCCTACCTATCACATATCCTTTCTGCTCCCCCTGGATGGTGAGGCTTTCCATAGGGGTTCATCAGAGTCTATCATATCCTTTAGGATAGGGCCTAGGCCCACCCCCATGTGTCTTTGCTCAGGAAGTATCCCTCTATGTGGAATGGGCTCCCAAAGTCCACACCTATGCTAGGGATAAATACTGAACTACTACAGGAGGTCCTGTAGATTTCTGAGGTCTCCTCACTGAAACCCACGTTCATGGTGCCTGGATCAGTCCCATGCTGGTATCCCAGCTATCAGTCTGGAGACCAAGAGCTCCCCCTTGTTCAGGTCAGCTGTTTCTGTGGGTTTCACCAGCCTGGTCTTGACTTCTTTGATCATCACTCGTCCTCTGCAACTGGATTTTAGTACAGTTCCGTGATTAGTTGTGGGTGTCTACTTCTACTTCCACCAGCTGCTGAATGAAGGCTATAGGATGGCATATAAGTCATCAATCTCATTATCAGGGAGAACATTTAAGATAGCTTCTCCTCTGTTGCTTAGATTGTTAGCTGGTGTCATCTTTGTAGGTCTCCAGACATTTCCCTAGTGCCTGATTTCTCTGTAAACCTAAAATGTCTCCGTCTATTATGGTATCTCCTTTCTTGTTTTCTTCTATTCTTCCCCCTACTCAACCTTTCTGCTCCCTCATGTCCTTCTCACCCCCCTCCTCCCCTTCTCATTCTCGTAGCTCCCTCCCCCTCCTCCCGTGCTCCCAATTTGCTCAGGAGATCTTGTCCCTTTCCCCTTCTCCAGGGGACCATGCATGTCTCTGTTAGAGTCCTCCTTGTTTACTAGCTTCTCTGGCAGTGTGGATTGTAGGCTGGTAATCCTTTACTCTATGTCTAAAATCCACATATGA